TCCAATTTGGGCGACAGAGTGAGACTACAACTCAAAAAAAAAAAAAAAAAAAAGAAAGTACAACAAAATCATCATAGTATTCCTTGAACTTAAAAAAAAAAAAAAAAAGAAATACATTTTGTAAGACTGTAGCTGCCATAGAGAGTGCTTCCTCTGATGGATCTGAGCAAAATACATTAAAAAATCTTTGGAAAGAGCCGAACTTGGTGGCTCAGCCTGTAATCCTGCGCTTTGGGAGGCTGAGGTGAGTGGATTGCCTGAGTCCGCGAGTTCGAGACCTGCCAGGGCAACTTGGCAAGACCTCATTTCTACAATAAATCAAAAAATTAGCCAGGTGTGGTAGCACGCACCTGTAGTTCCAGCTACTTGGAAGGCTGAGGCGGAAGGATCGCCGGAGCCCAGCAGGTCGAGGCTGTGGTGGTCAGGAGCGGCCACTGCACTCCAGTCTGGACGACAGAGTGAGACTCCAACTCAAAAAAAAAAAACAAAAAACTTTGGAAAGGATTTACCATACTAGATGCCATTAACAGCAATCATGATTCGTGGGAGGATGTCAAAATATCAACATTTATAAGAGTTTTAGAAGTTGATTCCACCTCTCATGGATGACTTTGAGAAGTTCAAGACTGCAGATGTAGAAACAGCAGGAGAATTAGAAATGGAGCCCAAGCCAGACTCGGTGGCTCAGCCTGTAATCCCGTGCCTTTGGGAGGCTGAGGTGAGTGGATTGCCTGAGCCCATGGGTTCGAGACCCTCCTGGGTAGCGAGACCTCATCTCTACAATAAATTAAAAAATTAGCTGGGCGTGGTAGTGCAAGCCTGTAATTCCGGCTACTTGGAAAGCTGAGGCGGAAGGATCGCCGGAGCCCAGCAGGTCGAGGTTGCGGTGGCCGGGAGCGGCCACTGCACTCCAGTCTGGGCGACAGAGTGAGACTCCAACTCAAAAAAAAAAAAAAAAAAAAAAAAAAAAAATGTAAACAGATGAGGAGTTGCTTCTTATAGATGAGCAAAGAAAGAGGTTTCTTGAGATGGACTCTACTGCTGGTGAAGATGCTGTGAACATTGTTGAAATGCCAACAAAAGATTTGAAATATTGCATAAACTTAGGTAAATCAGTGGCAGGTTTGAGACGTTTAACTTCGATTTTTAAAGAAGTTCTACTATGGGTAAAATGCTATCAAACACCATTGCATGCTACAGAGAAATTTTTCACGAAAGGAAGAGTCAATTGATGCAACAAACTTTATTTTAATAACTTATTTTGCTTTATTTTAAGAAATTGCCACAGCCACCCCAGCCTTCAGCATCCACCACCCTAACCGATCAGCAACCATCAACGCTGAGGCAAGAGCTCCAACGGCAAAATAAATACGACTTGCTAAAGACTCAGATAATCCTTACCACTTTTTAGCCATAGAATGTTTTTATTTTTTATTTTTATTTTTGAGTTGGAGTCTTACTCTCTCACCCAGACTGTAGTGCAGTGGCCGCTCCCGGTCACCGCAGCCTCGACCTGCTGGGCTCCGGCAATCCTTCCAACTCAGCCTTCCAAGTAGGTGGAACTACAGGCGCGCACTACCACACCTGGCTAATTTTTGATTTATTGTAGAGATGAGGTCTCGCCAAGTTGCCCAGGCAGGTCTCGAACCCGCGGGCTCAGGCAATCCACTCACCTCAGCCTCCCAAAGGCACAGGATTACAGGCTGAGCCACTGAGCCTGGCTCATAGAATGTTTTAACACTTAAGTATATACATTTTTTTTTGAGTCGGAGTCTCACTTTGTTGCTCAGGCTAGAGTGCAGTGGCAAGCTCACGGCCACTGCAGCCTCAACCTACTGGGCTCAGGCAATCCTTCTGTCTCAGCCTTTCAAGTAGCTGGAACTACAAGCATGTGCCACCATGCCTGGCTAATTTTTCTTGATTTATTGTAGAGGTGAGGTCTCGCTAAGTTACCCAGGCTGGTCTCAAAGCCCCAGGCTCAGGCAATCCTCTTGTCTTGGTCTCCTAAAATGCTGGGATTATAGGCGTGGGCCACTGTGTCCAGCTATACATTTTTTTATAGATGTAATACTATTGCACGCTTAATAGACTACAATATAGTGAAACATAACTTTTTTTTTTTTTTAGTTGGGGTCTCACTCTGTCACCAAGGCTGGAGTGCAGTGCATGGGCTCAAGCAATCCCCCTACCTTAGCTTCCCAAAGTACTGGGATAATAGGCATGAGCCACCGAACCTGGCCTAGAATAGTGAAACACAACTTTTTTTTTTTTTGAGTTGGAGTATCACACTGTCCCCAGTCTGGAGTGCAGTGGCACACTCATGGCCACTGCAGCCTTGACCTGCTGGGCTCAGGTGATCCTTTCGCATCAGCCTTCCAAGTAGTTGGAACTATAGGTGTGCACTACCACACCCGGCTTATTTTTTGCTTTATTGTAGAGATGAGGTCTCACCAAGTTGCCCAGCCTGGTCTGGAACTCTTGAGCTCAGGCAATCCTCTTGCCTTGGTCTCCCAAAGTGCACCCAACCCAGCCAAAACATAACTTTTATATGCACTGGAAAAACAACCAATTTGTGACTGGCTTTATTGTGATATTTGCTTTATTGTGTGGTAGTCTGGAACTGAACCCAAAATGCTGTATCTCTGAGATACTCCCATATAAACTTGGAGTTATATGTAATGCATTGTTTTTTTATTTGTGTGTAAAAATACATCTTATGTGCATTTTGTAGGTTCCCAATAAATCCTAGTTCAGTGGTGAATAAAATGAGTGGATTTCCCAGGAGATGATAAGTCCCTGCAGAAGACGCTAGATAAAGCTGACCTCTGTTGGGAGGTATTCCTTTAATGGAAATCTGAGTATGCATGAGTCCAGACTTCATCAGCTGCACTCATGTCAACCACCCATGTCAACTCTGTCAAAGTAAAACGGGGTGATTGCTATGCAAATACGGCTTCCAGATACAGTCCCTAGTTCATCATAGAAACCCTAGAGCAGCCCTGGAGGAGAACCAGACTCCAGGAAAAAAATGCGTGGGATGGCCCAGGCGCTGGTGAGGGGAAGTAGGTTAGCTTCTGAGCCTAGGAGGGATCCTGGAGGCTTATTCTGGGTAAAGGGCTGGTCTTCTTGCGCCCTGGAAGGTGGGGGAACCACATCCTGGTCTCACCAACGCTTCCGCCCATCTACTCTTGAGATAGCAGCCATCTAAGCCTAAGCCTCTCTCTTAGGCAACCTGCCCACAAGCTGCCCTCTTTGCCTCCTAGAAACCCGGACATTTCCATTAACACCAACCTCTCTCCTCAGGAAAGCATGCATTTGATGCCCAGGGCTCCTGGCAGTTGAGTTCCTTGGCAAGTGATGGGTGAATCATAGGAAGCTCCTCATCCTCATCTGGTGACCAAAGGCCTGGCCACAAGCAGCGTGTCATGTTTCTCCTCCACCCAGATCTCACTGCTCAGATCCCCTTCACCACCGGGACACCCTTCAACATGGCCTGGACGCTGTTGCTCATCTTGATCACAGTTCATCCAGGTGACAGGGCATGGGCTCCAGACCCCAAAGGGTGTGGAGCTGGGAGGAGGGAGGCTGGACTAGATGACCCAGGGAGCAGGCTTGTTGGGAGCTGAGCATTGAGTCCTACGGCAGTGTTGAGAGGAAGAAAGTGGGAGGCGTGGGGCCTCCCCAAAGTTGACACTCCATAGCCACCTTCAGTTCATAGTCCCTCCGTGTTGTCCACTGAGAGGTTTATTAGCTAAGGTCTAGATATATAATTAGGAGTTTGAAAGACTCAGTTACATCTAAGATAAATTTCTTGGTGAAACTGATTGTAACTGAGAGAACTTAACTAACGAGCATAATCTAAGTGTGGATTCCTGGAATCTGGCACAAATTCTCAGGACCGAACTCTGGGTCCAGGAATCTTTTTGAGCAAAACACTCCAGGTAATTTCCATATATGCTCAAGTTTGAGAAACACTGAAATAGAATGGCTAGTAAATTTCCCAAGAAGATAATTTAATCTTTTTTTTTTTTTTAGTTAGAGTCTTACTCTGTTGCCCACACTTGGAGTGCAATGGCACGCTCACGGTCACTGCAGCCTTGACATTTCAAGTAGCTGGAACTACAAGCATGGGCCACCATGCCCAGTTAATTTTTTGATTTATTGTACAGACAAAATCTCGTCAAGTTGCCTAGGTTGGTCTCAACCCCCTGGGCTCAGGCAGTCCTCCACCTCTGCCTCCCAAAGTGCTGGGGTTATAGGCGTGAGCCACCGTACCCTGCCCAATCATGCATTTTAATATTTGGTTTAATTTATCAATTTGGATGAACTATGTAGGAACCTCAGTCAATTACAGCCATGTCTTCCTCTGGAGATTTAATTAGTTAATGCTCTTTAACAAAAAAAAAACAAAGAGCAAGATGGCTTACTATAGAGTACCATTTGTACTAAAATAATACCTAGAATAATATAATTAGTGATAGTAGTTAACTAGACAGCCACATTCATTAATGAACTTCCATTTCACTGTGACATGACAGGTTAAATTATAGCTAGAGGAGTTACTTGTAGTAAAGGTAGCTGGAGAATGAAGGTAGAAGGTGAGGATGAGGGTGAGAGTTGGTATGGGAAGGAATTTGAAAAATCATTTAATAAGCAATGTTAAGAAATTATATTGGTAAAGAGGAAAGGGTTTAATGTGTCACCTGAAGCGTTTGTCCCATGCACCCTATCCATGGAGACAGCTGGGATATTCTACTCCAAGCTCTCTTGACTTTTCTCTTTGGAGTGACTAGGGAGGCATTTCTCTGGGTCTTCTCTCTGCCCCCAGGATCCTCAGCTCTCTGGGTGTCCCAGCCCCCTGAGATTCGTACCCAGGAAGGCTCCTCTGCCTTCCTGCCCTGTTCCTTCAACGTTAGCCAAGGGATACCGGCCATTGGCTCCGTCACGTGGTTCCTAGACAAGGTGGCTCCGGGGAACGAGGTGAGAAATGAGACTCCAGAGTTTAGGGGCCGCCTGGCCCCCCTTGCCTCTTCCCGCTTCCTCTATGACCACCAGGCTGAGCTGCAAATCTGGGACACGCAAGGCCATGATGCCGGCGTCTACGTGTGCAGGGTGTTGGTGCTGGGCCTGGGTGTCGGGACAGGGAATGGGACTCGGCTGGTGGTGGAGAAAGGTGAGACACTGGGAGGTGGCATCTCCTTGACTGGAGGCCCCGGGAGGCAATGTCCCCTGAGGGTCATCCCCCAGGGCCATATGCCCCCTGCCTCTTCCTTAGCCTGTGTGCCCTTCTTCCCTAAGTCCCATCTCTAAATGGACCCTATGCAGGACCTCCTCAGCTGGTGGCTGGCCTAGCTCTCCTCCTTCGGGCTGGATTCTATGCCTTCAGCATTCTCTCTGTGGCCATAGGCAGCACCTTCTATTACCAGGGCAAATGTGAGTAGTGGGGCTAAGGTCAATGGGGATGGGATGGAAGGGGCAGTAAGAGAGCTGGAGACCAAGAAGAGAGGGAGAACTTTGGGATTGCAGTACTGAGCAACTCCTGTCCTCTCTCTGACCAGGCCACTGTCACATGGGAGCACACTGCCACTCATCAGATTAGAAATGATTCCAGACCCCAGTGATCCAAATTCTCTTCAAAAGCCCCCAATAAATTCCTCTCTGCTCACTAACACCTCTTCATGAGTCTCGTGTATCTTTTTCTCCGCTCCCCAATATGATTCTCTCCAGAGTCCTCCAACTCTTTCTCTTTTTTTTCTGAGGTCAGAGTCTTACTCTATTTCCCAGACTAGAGTGCAGTGGTGTGATCCCAGCTCACTGCAGCCTTGACCTCCTGGGCTCAGGTGATCTTTCTGCCTCAGTCTCCCAAGTAGCTGCTATTACAAGCACAAGCCACCACATCCAGCTTATTTTTTAATTTTTTAATTAAATTTTTTTCTTTGGTAGAGACGAGGTCTCACTATATTGCCTACACTGGTCTCGAGCTCCTGGGCTTGGGCAATCCTCCTACCTTGGCTTCCCAAAGTGCTGAGATTATAAGCATAAGGCATAGCATCTGGCCCAGATTCTCAACTCTTAACTTTCCCTTCCACTAAATCTGGCCTGGAAAGGTCCAAGCAGGGATTTCCTCAGCACTAGTAACTACCCCTCTTACTACCATCTGGGAGCTCAGCACATCCACCTCTCCCAGGCCCAGGAGGCTGATTCTTCCAAGAAATGGGGATTATCAGGTCTGATTATTCCTACTTGTCAGCTCCTCTTTCCTGCCAGGTCCACAAATACTCTTTTCTGGTTTTTAGGAAAACTCTGGTCCCTAAACACCCTCATTCCCCCAGTAAATCACTGTTTGACCCCAGAGTGGGCAGGAGGGTGAGCCACATGTTTTGTTTTGCTTTATTTTGTTTTTAAGTTGAGGTCTCCGTTGCCAAGGCTGCAGTACAGTGGCATGATCATGGCTCGCCCCAGCCTCGACATCCTGGGCTCAAGCGATTTTTTCACCACAGCCTCCTGAGTAGCTGGAACAACAGGCATGTGCTTGCACACCCAGCTAATTTTTGTATTTTTCTGTGGAGACGAGGTCTCAGTATGTTGCCTAGGCTGGTCTCAAGCTCCTGGGCTCAAGGGACCCTCCTGCCTTGGTCTCCCAAAGTGCTGGATTACAGGCGTGAGCCACTGTGTCTGGTTGAACGACATAAGTTTTGATGATGGTTATTTTGAACGAGTGCTCGAAATGGACTGAGAGGACTGAAACAGTAGGTGGAGGAAATCATGATCTTTACTGGGTGAAGCATAGAATGACCCAGATCACCTGCCTGGATCAAGGGAGGTGTCTGGGGTGCTCAGGTGGGTTTGTTCTTGGCGATACTGGCATAGTCTTCCTCGTTCCTGTCCTGGAGCTCAGGTCCCTCACTGCTGGGCACTGGCAGCCTCTGCAGAGATGCATAGTGGAGCTCCTGCTCTGAGAACTGGGCCTGGGGCCAGGGCAGAAAGAGCTGCTGTGAGGAGCTGCCCTTGGATCCCTCCCTCTGAGTTCTGCCCCCACCTCCAGGCTTTCTTACCTCCCCATCTCTCTGAAGCATCTCTCTCCCCACTTGCTCCTCTCTCTCTCCTCTCTTTCCTCTCTTTTTCTCTCTCCCCTCTTTCCTTCTCTCTTTCCTCTCTCTGTCCTGCCTTTCCCCCCTTTCTTTTCTTTATCTTCTCCTCTCCCCTGTCTCTCCCTCACATCTCTCTCTCCCTCTCCCGCTCTCCCTCTCTCCCCTCACTCTCCCTCTCTCCCCTCACTCTCTTTCTCTCTGCTGGCGTAAGCTCTTGGTCCTTTCTCTCATTGCTCTTTCTCTTTGTGTCTCTTACTCTCTCATTTCTTCCCATTTCTTACTCTTATTCACTCTTACTTTTCCCTTGGTTTCTCGTGTCTCTCTCACCCTTTTTTTTCTCTGCCTCTCTCTTGCTCCCACTTTCTCTTTCCTTGTCTCCTGGCCCCCACCCCTCCTCTCAGTGCTCAGCCTGACTTGTCCCCTGTCCCCCACTCAGACCCTCTCTTGCCTCCCCTTTCCCTGTCCCCAGACTCCCCCAGCTCCTCTCCAGCCTCTTTACTGGAAGAAAAGAAGAAACTCAGCACAGCGCTCCCTTTGGGCGTTCCCAGCTCCCCACTACAGCAGGTGTTTGATCCCTTGGTTCCAAGGTTCTCACGGCCGGAGGCCTGGCCTCTCTCTGGACACTCTTCTCTCACCTCTGCCACCCACCTCCCACCATCTTCCTCACCTAGGGCCTGTTAGGATTCTGGAAAAGCAGCAGGAAAGCGTGTGGGTGGGGCAACAGGGGGCATTGCTGTGGGATGAGTGAGGAAGGTCACGGGGCTCACCTCTGCGATGGAGCCGACATAGGCAGGTGGACAGAATGAGCACAGCCAGGAGCAGGAGGAGTCCCACCAGCCCCAAGCTCCCGTAGACGTAAGGGTGCACGCCTGTAGGGTGGCAGGCTCAGGATTAGAGGGCCATGTTCTCTTCAGCTACCCCAGTTTCTGGTTGCCTGTGGCTTTTTCAGATCCCCTCTCCAACAACTTTAGAGGTAGAAAAATATATTCTTGGAGCCTCTTCATCCCCAGTCTCATTACCTCACCTCCTACCAGAAATACACGCCTCATCAATTACTCCCATCTGATTTCACTCACCCCTCAGAGGCTGTCCTCTGCACTTCCTGCTGTTTCTGGGCCTCCTGTGAAGTCCCTTTCCCTTCCACACCGGCTGTCCCTAGAGGCCTGTCTACCTAGTCATGATCTGCCCACACCACCATTCATCCATCACTCTATGAGCCCCCACAACCCTTCCTATGCAGAATCAAGGGGCCCTTTACTTACTTTCCCAATTCGACATTAGGTTGGGGACCGAGGAGTCTCTTGGAGGTCAGGAACCCTAGGCCTTGCTCTTTTAGACTAAATGGTCAGAGCTAGTCACGTGCCTCAAGTTCCTGGTCTGGAAAGTGAGGGGCCCTCTGTTACAATCGTTTTTGGACTGAGGAGCCTCACCTATTTGCAACTCTGAGCTGGCCACTTTCCATTTGTCACCACGCATCCCCACAATAATGTAGAGTCTTAGGGTGGCCATAGCCCAGGTGAGAACCTGAGACTCAAACTTGGAATTTACTAGGCCATTCATTCCAGAAGGGTGGAGCCAGAGTTCACAGTCAGTTCTGTCCCATTCCAAAACCCACCTCTTTCTTCTGCCCTGGGCTGACTGGGTGGTTTGGAGGACAGTCTCTTTAGCACTAGATGGTTCTAGGTGCTGGTGAGGGGCTTATGGAGGGGGAGGAGCCAGGGTCTGGGTGAGTATGGATACAGGGAGGGGGGGTGAAGTAGGAAGGAAGGTGTCAGTGTCCCCAGTAGCTGGGTTCTTCCCAGCCTCAAAACAATGTGGGAGTGAGGGGGCTCCACTTTACTGGTGTGGAGAGCCGCTTCCCACAGGCAGACACTGCTGGGGCTGAAGTAGGGCTTGGAGGAACATCTGGGGCCCCATAACTTCCCCTCAGGCACTTCCTGCCCTCCAACCACGGGTTCCTGTTTGAGGACAAAGAGGGGACCTGCTGACTTCACCCCAGAGCCAGATACCCTGACTAGGGTCTGGAAACCGATACCCTCCAATATTTAAGAGGAATGCTGGGGGTGGGCTGGAGTGTAGGGAGAAGAAACCCAGGTGAAGGGGACAACTAAGGTGGCCATAAGGGCCATAGGAACAGAAGTGGTTTGTCTTTAATTTCTTTGGGGAGCAGAAACTCAAAGGCTGCACAGAGGATTCCTCTAGGACCCAGGGACCTCAAACCCAATACTCTTCCTCCCTTCATCTTAGCCTCAGCTCACTCTGGGGTGTGACCATTCTTCCCCCATGGTGTCCCCCCATCAGGGTCCCTGCCCACTCGCAGCTTACCTAGAGCTTGTGGCCTGCAGGGTGGACAGACTCCAGGCTGGCCCGAGCTGCCTGGCTGAAGAGAAGTGTCGCCACCTCAGACATTTCTGCCCCTCCTCTGGCTTTAACTTCTCCCCCAGCCTGGTTGCCTCCCCAGCATTGTTAGGAGAGGAAGTTCAGCTTGAGGGTTAGCGTTACAACATCTTTCCTTTCAAACTCCCAGGACTCCTAACTAGGGTTGTAATACCGCTCAGCTCCAGCCATCCTATTAGTCTTGCCAATCGTTAGTGAATGTCTGCCTCCTCCAGGTGCTTTCCCTGGTTAACTTTTTCCCTCTCACCCCTCGTACCGCACCTGTTGAGAGCTCTTGATCTCAGCATATGTGTGTAGACACACACCCCTGGCTCCTACAGCACACTGAGAGCTCTGGCATATTTGGGGTGACTTGCCTGGAGTTCTGCAGCTATATGCAGCAGGGGGCTTGGCTGGCTGACTAACAGGAGAGTCAGAGGCAGCCAGACTAGATCTGCACAAGCACTGCGCATAGATCTGGGACAGAAAGTTGGTAACAGGTTCATGTTGGGAAAGGAGGTGTGGGCAATCCAGATGGACTTCCTGCAGGTGGCAGCATTCCGATGTTGAGCAGAGAACTAAGTAAAAGGAGATCTGGTGCTTGGGTCCATTTATATTTGCATTTCTCTCTCTAAATTCAGGAACTTTCTGCTACTTCCTCTTCTCTCCCCAACCCCTTATTCTCAACATATCCCCTAGAAACAATAGAACAATATTTCGGGTTTTGTTTCAAAAAGACATTTTATTATTAAAAAGTTCAAATATAGGGAGCAATTGAAAGAATTGCAGTGAACCTATCCTTGCCACCGAAATCCTACAATTAACATTTTTTATTTGCCTTATCACATATTTGCCAATTCATCTCATTTTTTGTATCTTTCAAAGTTGCAAACATTAGTACATTTCACATCTAAACCCATGAGAAACTTATCGACTGGAGTTCAGTATTTGTTTCTCCATTTCTTTTTTGGCCTGAGGAAGGCAAAATTTACACACAGTAAAATGCACAAATCTCAAGTCAGTTTTTAAACTGCTTTGTTATCAAGGCTCTGGAGTCACACTGCCTGGGTTCATATATTGGTTCTGCCACTTGCTGTGTGATCTCCACAAGTTTCTTAAACACTCTGTGCCTCAGTCTCCTCTTAGAGTGTTTTTGTTAAGATTAGAAGAGTTATTAAAATGTATAGCTGGGCATGGTGGCTTATGCTTGTAATTCTAGCATTTTGAGAGGCCAGGGTGGGAGGATTGCTTAAGCCCAGGAGTTTGAGACCAGCCTGGGCAACATAGCGAGACTTTGTCTCTACAAAAAAAA